CCCCAAAACCCCAAAACCCCAAAACCCCAAAACCCCAAAACCCCAAAACCCCTAGGAAGTATATGAAATTGAAGCGATCTGAGTTTACCAAAGAGATATGACTTTTAGGGTTAATTAAACTGTCTACCACTTGGGACTGGTAAGATGATAGGTTCTGGAAGAGAGCTGTTAAGTACACCAGGGTTTTCAGATAAGTTTGAGCACTCGATTACTTCATAACCTGACCTTCATCATCCTCCAGAGCAGAATAAGATATTTGAGAGTAGAATTCAAAAGTTCCTTAATAAGTAAATATTTGTGAAGAATTCAAATTAGAAATATAGATGAGAGCCTATCAGAGAGCCTGTAATAGCTCCGATGTCTAGAGCGACATTGTATACCCCTATAAAGCATTTATTGTATCATTAGAGTTTCTATAGTCACTATCCAGACTTTTCCTCATTAGTTGGAATAAAAGAAGAATTACAAATTGAGCTAATATTCATAACAATGATATCCCAGTTAAAAAGAAAAAGACTGATTATACGGCAACTATTAAGAATCTGAATGGCATTAAGATAGCCCAGTGATCAAGATTGCATTTCTGTTGAACTTGTTCATCATTTGGTTTACTAAAAATATCGAGCAAACTGGGAAAACTCATGGAACAGAGAATATTAAGCTATATAAATATTCATGAATTTTAAGCTCCTCTAATCTTTTTGATAGTATCGCAGGATCAAAATTAAGCAAACTCAGGGACAGGATAGCTAATCTAAGACATTTCATGATGATCTGTGTTACAATTGACTGCGTCAAGCTTTGAGAACCGGCTTCCATATCTTGGTGAAATTCAAATTTAATCCTCTTAGAACCTCTTTGAGAAGAATTTGAATTTTTTACATTCAAAGTCTCCCTTTACTCTTGGTCAAAAGAATACTTATGCCTCAAGTTACCATCGTCAAGGTTTTCTTTGATTGAAGGCTTATAGAGTAAAATCTTTAGTCTTTACAATTATCAATGTTCTGGTTACTACTAAAATCAATACACTACCGACCCTTCTGTTGCTCTGAATTAATGTTCGCACACAGACGCTCTTTCAAATCACTTGAAACTTCGATTCTTGAAGGGGAATATTCAATGACTCATTGGACAAATCAGAGGAAGAACACTCCAAGTACAATGAATGGGAGGCAATATCCTCCTATTATGTAGAGCAGGGTACCTGTGAGCAACCCAATGACCAGCCCATCTCCAAGTGTGACTTTGAAGTAAGAATTCATCTGCATAATATCATTACCGTCATACTGCATTGAGAAAACAGAACATTCTATTGTATAAACCACAGAGTTTGAAGCTCCTTGAAGTACTCTACATGCAAACGCCATTGCGAGGAAGAACTCGTTATCTACAAAGATCAGTAATCCAAAGCCGATCCTCAATAGACCATATGTGATTGAGACAAAGATAAACATGAATTTCTGACTATATTTGTTCAGTATTTTCTGCATTACTAATTAAACTATCACAAATGAGAATGGGTATGCGCTAAAGATGTATCCTATTATATTAATGTCAACACCTTTGTCTTCAGCTTCTTGAGGAAAGAAGGGGCCTACAAGGGCTAAAGCTGCATTGATGATCAAGCTTGTGCCAAAAAGAAACCCGCTTGCTCTGTTTAATTTCATTTCAATTACTATTATTCATTGGGGTTTTGGGGTTTTGGGGTTTTGGGGTTTTGGGGTTTTGGGG